TAATGTGTTATTGGTCAGGAAGATTCATGTGGTGAAAATTAATAGCAGCAGGTGGCTTGCAGCGATACCCCATCCATCTTGTCTGTGGCAGAGAGAGCACACTCCTCGGTGTACAGGCAGCACAGTGTCAGACAGCCAGGTCACAAGCTCTGATTTACAGTGCTCCAGGTTCTGTGGGTACAGGCAGTGGATCCCCTCCCAGCACATGCAGGGCACAAGCCCTGCCCCCCCTCACCATGTGTCTGCGTCCACCCAACATCCCTGCATGCAGGGAGGGAGCCTCTCCAGGCTGGACCAGTGCCCAGAGCACGAGATCCCTGCTCAGGCTGGGCATATCCTGATCTCAGGATCAGCAATGCCACTGAACGCAAGGAAAGAATCCCACTGAACCCAGATAACACCTGGCTGTGCCAGCTGGTGAAGCCATGCTCGTTTTTGGTGGTAAATGAAGGCAGCACAGTGATGCCATCACTAATTCAACAGCTACTCTTCCCCAGGAGCTGCCAGGGTGCAGGGCAGGTGGCCTCACCAGCCTGGGTCTGTACATAAATCAAACAGGAGGTTGTAAATCTGTCATTCCTTTAGTTATTTAGCAAATGCACCACACCCTAATCTACTCCTAGTCTTTTAACAATGTACACTATACAATTTTTATAGAGCTGTGACAAGTTCAGAAGATGACTTGCCTATCTCATCACCAACCTACCCAGAGGTGACCACGTACATATTCTACCACTGCCCAGCACAAAGCTCAAAGAGAAAGCGCACAGAATCAGTGTTCCCTGTGCTGCTGAGCTGATTAAAGATTCAGCTCGGATGGGAGAGGAAGTGCAGGGTCTGGCATGGTTTCCTGTGTGCCTATAAATAGCCATTTGGGATGGTTTAGGCAGAGGTCAGCTCCACACAGCTGTACGAGTGCTGGCTTCTGTTCCCCTCGTGCTGGCGGGAATGGGATCGATGGCAAAACTTGTCCCCCTTGGAGCAAGAGCTTTGAGACACACCCAGTGTGCTCCTGCCAGAGTACCTCCTGCCAACGAGGGTGTGACACTGCTGCAGGGCAGGGGTCCTGTGAGGTTCACCCCCATGGGCTGGCACCAGGTGAACCTCTCCAGTCACCTGTTGGTCTCTCAGGCTCTGCTGAATGACACATGAAAGATAGTAATGTCTCCAAACTGCTCTGAAGGACAAGAACGGGCATAAAGATGCTATTTATGCGCTCCAGTCCAACGGAGGGATTTTAGGGAGCAATGTTGCCCCTCTCTGGGTGGGTTGGTTGGGGGTCCCCAGTGCCAGTGGCACTCCTGGTCCCTGCAAACCCAAGCACACTGTGACATCTAGTGGCAAGTTATCCCAGAGCCCAGGGAAGGCTGTGTCTGACAGGCTTTTCCCACAGCCCCTGGACAGCCAGCCCAGCTGGATCTGTTTTATTACATGCTCTCCAGGTGCCTCTGTATGCATAAATATGTATTTACGTGTAACAGTGAGAATGACAGCTGCTGTTGCTTAGGCCAATGCATGCTGGTGACAGGAAGAGTATATCCACCTTGGCAGACAGCTCTCATCTTCCTTGTTCTAGGCAGGACAGGATCTGGACAGGCCCTGTCCTCTTCCCATCCCAGGTAGTGACTGAGTGCACTGCTCTGCCAGCATCACCTCCAGAGCCATGGCTGCAGCTGCCCCATGGCACAGGAGCTAGAAGGGGTTGGATACAAGCTTGGCCATATTTGACACGGCTTTCCACCCCCTCCCCCAGCAGTGACCAGTGCTGGTGTCTGACCAGCTCAGGTGGCCTTGCCAACATGTCCCAGGGGCACACAGCCTTTATACAGCCAGAGAGGTGGAGCAGCAGCCATGGCACCATGTAGCCTTATTGCACATTCACCTCCACCTCCTCCCCATGCTTTGGCAAGGTTTATTTAATATTTCACTGGGGTTTTTTTCAGACTCTGTTCAATTTCATGCACCACCATCAGTGGCATATTCTATATTAGCTTGAATAAGGATACAGAAATTAAATCAATAGGCTTTTTCTAACAAATAGAAAGGCCCCATCATGCACATCTGGGCAGCATGAGTCAGGGATGTCATCTGATTACTGGGCTGCTTTGTGAAAGAAGGGGGGGAAGGAACAGACACTAAATATGAGGAGTAAAACTGAGAAAAAAAAAGGTCAAATTTCAAGAGGATCCTCTTGATCCTCCTCCAGAGCTGGGCAGGAAAGTGGGAAGCTGCTGTGCAGCACATGAGCACCAGCCTCTTCACACAAGCACCCTCTGTGCACCCACCACAGATCTGTGCCCTAAAAACACACTACTCCTGCCCCAAATCTGGAGGATGATGGAAACAGCAGTAAGATCTGCAGTGTCAGAGCCCCAGAAAGCTGAAACCAGGGTGGACAGCACCAATCCTGCTTCAGATGCTTAAGGTCTCTGAACCAGACTGAGTCCCACAAGTGGTGCCCAGGCTTCAAGTGCCAGAAGACCTCAGGCACCACAGTAAAACTTTCTGAGTTGTCAAAAGGGCCTCTCTTTTCTGTTTGTCTTTCATAAAGCTTTGTTTAATGCATAAATGGTTACTTATTCTATATGATGTATTCACTAGAGAAGCCAAGTTCCCTTCCCACACAAACATTCCTTCCAACAGCTCCAGGTCCTGCCTTTTCCCAGGAGCATTGAGGGAAGCAGGATGGGATGGAGAAGGGATGGGTACAGCAGGCATTGCACGTGCTCAGCCCCTGCTGCACAAGGCTTGCTGGACCAGTTTTTGGCAGGTGTCAGATTTTTTGGAGGGTCAGGTTTTTGGTAGGTGTCAGCTAGACATTAACCCTGGAAGTGTTCCTAAACAGTGAACTTCAGAGGCTGAAACAGCAAATTTATACCAAAAAGAACAGCAATTTGCACGAAAACATTTCCAGAACCACCTCCCCATTCCTTGATAGCTCTCTAACCACAGAATGAGTGCTGGGGACAGGGGGTACCCCTGCTCAGAGCCAGAAGTGCTGACCCACCAGCATCCCAGCTCTGCACACCCCCAAAGGTACAGCTGGGACCTGGGTGGCCCTGCTGCCCACCTCAGGCAGGGTTTCATGCTGGGCACTCCTACTGGCTTTTCTAGCAGCTCTCACCAGGGAATGCAGTGCACAGGAGAGCAGGAGGATGGTGGTTTCTCCCTGCCCAGTGTCCCTGTGGCACAGCAGCCACGGGTGAGGAGGGTCCTTCCCTGTGGCCGGGCATGGCATGGCCAGAGGCTTAGCCCCTCCTGCCCTCCAGCCAGCACCCTCTGGGTCACTTCCCACAGTATTCACTGTATCAGCACTCCGTATCTTATGGAATATCCGGCAATGCAACCCATTCTCATCTTATGACTCAGCTTATATCAACTAATTATTCATTTCTGAAACACAGTTTTCTACCTTAAAAAATTACACCTTTTCCACCACCTGGAGGACCCGTGTGTACCAACAGATGGATGCTCAGCCCTGGCCTCAAAGGCAGCAAACTAATTGTGTTTCTTCTCAGCTCTCGTGCTCGGCACATCGCCAGGGTGACACGGAGCAATGAGAAACAAATTGACTCAAAACTTGGCCGGAGAGCATCAGCAAACAGAGGGCTGAAAACTCAGCTTGATTTATTTTATAGAGAGGCAAAGGACAAGAAATGCAGTGCTATTCCCAGTTGTGGCCCTGGCAAACAGTCCTCCAAGCCCATGTGAGAGCAGAGCTGCTGGTGAGGCTGGGCAGCCCCGGCCCCGGTGTCCGTCTGTCAGGGGAACATCGCTGGGAAGGGACAACGTGACACTAATTCCTTCTCTGAAAACCATAACGCTTCCCTCTCCTGCCCTGAGAATACAAAGTGTTGTACATGAAGCATTAAAATAAAGGCCACCATCTGACACACAGACACTTAATGCCCTCCTACAGAGATGTCGGGGTTGCTGTAGGATGTTTTCGGTGTTACAGAGCAAGCCTTCAGCAAAGGTGGGAGCTGGGGCTGGCCCAGTTGATGGCAGGAGCAATGCCAGGACTGCCACAGCATGGGGCACTGGCTCCCATTGCTGGGGGTGCTGCTGGGGGGCTCCAGCCCTGCCAAAGGGACCGGGACACAGCGGGAGTGCGGCAAGAGAGCAACTGTGGGGTTGAACCAGCTGAGACATCAACCACCCCAGGGAACACGGGTAGGACCTGGGAGCACAGAGCCTGGAAGGGCACAGAAGCCTGGAGCAGCACCCTCTGCAGCCCCTGCTCATGCTGGGTGTCAGCCAGCACTGCTGCAGGCTCAGGCACCCACCCCAAAGGTCCCCTCTCCCCTTCATTCCTCCCAGAAAACAGATCGCTTTTGCTATCGCTTTTCCGGAAAACAAGGGCGACTTCTCCTCCAACACTGATGTTTTCCCAAGGGCTGACGTGCTGTTCCCACTGACAGCACTGCTGCTGCTTTCCCAGCTCTGCCACCCCACTCTGTCCCCGTGGGAAAGCCTTCCCCTGCCCTGGCTGTGCACACACCAGAAGATTGAGACTCCCATGGGAGCACTGAAGGTCCTGGCGATCCCTGGGAGGCAGCAGGGCTGGAGCCGGTTGGGTGGCAGCAGCACGGGGGGCTGCTCCCCTCGAGAGGAGAAACCTTTGCCAGCCAGGGACCTTCTGCTGTGCTGCCTCCCCAGAGGCAGTGCCACTCCCAGCGCTGTGCTGTGCCACTGAGTGCCCACTGTGGGACTTGCAGACACTGAAGTGTTACATCACTAAGTTTCTAATAACTGCTTTTTTTATTTCCTAAGTCCTAAACAAAATCTATCGCTGCAAAACTTTCTGTTTTCTGTTAAATGAGCCCAAACAGAAGCAGCACATCCCAGGAGGGAACATCCAGACCCACACCTTTGCCGCTCCCATCTCCCAAAACAGTTCACGCCTCGTTTTCTGGTTAATAGCATTGTAGCTTAATTTCTGGTTTAAAAAACTTAAAGAAACAGGGTGACCAAGGAAAAAAAAATAAACCTCCTCGTACCTTCCATGGGGAGAGTGAACTGCGGCAGACCAGTGTCCTGGGCAGAAGTTACTCCTGTGTCCCTGCAAGCGAGCAAGTCCTGCCTGGGGCGACTGAACTCCAACCCCATCTGCTCGGCTTTAAGCAGGACAGCCAAGATCCCACCCAGGACGGGGTGGAGAATCCTCCCTGGGAAAGAGCAGCTCGGTCACAGCTCCCTCCAGCCGCCCTGCACATCTCGGCGGGGCTCTGACAGGCCGTTTCCTCTCTCTCCCCCTCGCTATTCAGCAGCAGCCCCTTCGACTGCCATCTCACATCAGCATCTGCAACTGAGTTTGCGACAGGGGTGGCGTTTGGCAGCGCCAAAGGTGTAGGTGGCATGGGTCCCAGCAAGGAATACTGGCGGGAGGAGTGCGGGATACACACGGTTCGAATCAGCCGCAGGATGGAGGCGAACGGGACACGCAGAGGTACTCGAAGCACTGCAGTTACATCAGTGAGAAATCCTCGATCAGCTGGAGCACGGCCCAGCAGAGTGAGCTCAGTGCAAAGCAGGCTCCAGAGTGCTACAGTGAGGACACCACCCTGACGCTCTGCTCCAGGTTTGCCAGAGGCGATGGGAAAAACATGCCAAATCTAGTGCTTTTACACCAAAAGTCTGTTACACTGAAACTCTTTTACACAGCAAAGGTTATTTTCTTTAAAACAATCTCTCTGTGGAATCTGTTCTGTCTGAATGACAGGCATCTGATCGTGGTTTGAATTTCCCTCTCAGTGAACAGAGCTAGGGTGGGGTGGCTGAGCACTGTCACACCTGGTGACAAATAGCTGCAGTGCCCACCTTCATGCCAGCTCACCTGAGTGCTCTGTGGTTTGGGGTTCCCTTGGGTTTTCAGGCAGGTGGAGACTGGAGGATGCTAGTGACATATTTGGGTTTAATGTGTTTGTTGCCTATCATGTGCATTTATTCAGCTCTGGACCTATTCCCTCTTCATTTGAGTGTGAACTGCCCAGACCAGGCAGCTCCCACAGACCAGTGAGAGCAGCCAAGCCCTGGCTCCCACCTCTACAGCTCTCATAGGGGACATTTAAATTTACAGTAGAGTGGAGAGATAGAGAAAGCAAGATAAGGTACAACAGCAGAGACCACAGCCATCATCGCATCATTGCTATGAGACCAGTGCTGTCCCCTGGCCTCTGTTTTCAGCCACTCACAGCACACAGTGGGTGTCTGAGCTCAGTGCTGATTAACTCTGTGCCACACTGTCTCACACCAGGTAACAAGGTTAAGCACCGATGAAGGAAAATCCAAAAATATTCCAGGTCCTAATGCCTGCCAGACATACATTAGCAAACTGAAATACCTCCTGAAGAGGTTTTTTGTTGGAACATGTTTCTGTGTCAGTTGTGGTGGGAGACATCCTGACTCAGGTTCTGGTCACTCTGAGCAGGGTGTGGTTAGGAAAATCACACACCTTAACGAGGTACACTAGTGTGGGGAGAGCAGAAATTTGCTTTTGATGCCTTCTGAAATAGGATGCCTGAAGGAACAGTCTTTTCTAACTTCCTTTCCCTGAGGAAATGGAGACACAAGCCTCACCCAGGGCACCCTCAGAAAAAGGGCCCAGTAGATGATGTTACCCCTGGCTGACTGGGGTGGCAGAGCCTGGAGAGGCCAGCACTCTGCAGGCCACTGGTCCCTGCACCACCAAACACAGCACATGCAGTCTTACAGAAAAGACAAAAATTACTCTTCAGAAGAGGAGCACGAAGCCCTGGGGCTTTCCAAGTCACATCTGCGCTCTCACACCAGGAACACTAACCCAAGGAGGCTTGGCACTCCTGGCTCGCCAGGGCCAGGGCAGCAGGACACCAGTGCTGTGGCTGACGTGCTGCCTCTCTTCCAGCCAGCCCCACGTGTGCAGAGCCGGAGGAACCATCCCGTGGCTCCGTGCCTCCATGTGACGCCTGCTCCCCAGAGGCTGCCTGACCCCGGCTTCCTTCCCAGCCTCTCTGAACTCCCGGGCCCTCAGAGGAGCAGCACCATGGTATTTTTAGCCTGTTTACAAAGACAGAGCAGTACATTTGTGCGTGGCTTGCAGTGAGAGAGCACAAGCTCTGTAGTGAGCGGGTCAGCTGGCAGCCACCTGGGCAGCAAAACAGAGGTGGTTTGCCAGGGCACATGATGGCATCAGAGATGGAGAGAGAACCAGAAGAGGCACCAGGAGAACATAACAATTTTTTTCTGCTTTAATAAGCATTTAATTAACTTCCCTTAATAAAAATTTAATAAATTTTGAAGCCCTTCTTCTGGGGCTTCTCCAACTGCTGAGAGTTTCAGTATCCCTCTAGCTGGCAACCCAGTGTGGGAGCACTACAGGCTCCTGCTGGTCCCCTCTGTCATTGCTGGACACCACGAGGCCAGAAGGATCTTTTACGTGGTCTCCAGTGGAAGCATTATCCAACTTACCAGTTTCTTTCCTGAACTGTGATGTCTGGGCTAAACACAGCAGCCAGAAGTAATGGCACCACATGCTGTTGAAGAAGTAGCCAACCTTCTTCAGGTCCTCCATGAAATCACCTGGATTTGGTGCTCACAAGTGACCTTTTGGTGGTAGCTATACAAATTTTCATATTCTAACCTCTTTCTTTACTCCTTCTTTCTTCTCCTAATCTCTTTCTTTCTTTCTTTCTTTACTCTTTCCTCTTTCCTTAATCTCTTGTGGGTAACTTGTGCTTTCACTAAGTTGTAGGTCGGTGTTTGCTGGGTGCTTTGTGAAATGCTTCTCCTTGGTTGGTTGTTACTCCTGTGAACTTTTGGCCAAAATACTCATTTTCTCACTAAATTAAAAGAAGTCTCTTGGGAAAAAGTGTGTAGCTTTTTCTCTTTGCACGAATTCAAGGTATTAAAGACCCATAGTCTTTGCAAGAGTTTGTGTGGGTGAACTCTTGGAGTCTTAAATATAAGTAAACTGCCTGGGCAAGGTGTGGCTTAGACCTGGGGCTTTACACCATATCCTCACACCTTTAGCTCTTTTCAATTGAAGCAGTATTGTCAGGTATTTTTTTTGTGCCTGGCCAGTGATGGGTAGATAGAAGACACCAGGGAGGTGCCTGCTGGCCTGGTTCAGTAGGAGTGCCCTGAAGTGTGTGCTGTAACACCAATAAATTCTGTCTGCCCTTCTGCCAATATTTAGGAGTTGGTGAGGTTTTGCTCAGCAGGTTTTGGTGTGGACAACAATACAAACCTTCACCAAACCTTCAGCCCTGTTACACCTGCCCACGTTGGAAGGGGCAGGGGCTGTGCATGGCTGAGCTCTGCCTGATGCTCATCACACTCCCCTGCTGCCCTGCCCTCAGACCCTGAGCCTCTCCTTAAAGCCAGGGGAGGTGTCTCCAGGCTTCCAGCTGGGACACATCAGTCCTGCTGTGTGCTGGAGCCAGCACAAGGCTCAGCCCTGGTAGCCATCACTGGTTCTTCCTCACAGAGCCCGGGGAAAGCCAAGAAGCAGCTGTATTACAGCTCTGGCACCTGCTGCAGGGTAGCAAATTCTACCAACAGCTCTGCCCCTCGTATTTATGAAAAACACGTCCACATTGCTTTCTCACAGCCCAGCACAAATCGTGTGCAACTGTGTGTTCTGGAAGGTCACCCAGGGCAAAGTGAGTCCCACAGGATGTTCCATCCCAAAGCAGGGCTTGGAGGAGCTGTGTGCTCAGACACCAGCCCAGCAGAGCCCGGGCCATGGGCACCTCACACACACTGGCAGGGAAAGGGTGTCTGGGAAAGAGGCTTGAGCCAGCACAAGCCTCTGGTGATGACTAGAAAGGGGGGGAAATCCCAACCCATATGAAGCCAAACCACTCTACATTCCCTAAATAGTATGTCCAGAGGGCCTGGCCCTAAAGCTCTCACAGGGAGAGCTGGGCAGGTCAGAAGTGCTGGTGCTGTGCCAAGAGGAGCAGGAGCAGTGTGGGCTCAGCCCAGGGGGCATCTTGGTTGGACTGGCACAATGTGATTTGTTTCAGACAGTTCTGGCTTGTCACTCCCTCAAAAGCTCTCACATGGTATATGTTATGTCCCAAAATAGACACAAATGGCTGAAAGCACAGCTCACTGCACAGTTCCTCCCCTCTCCAAGTGAGCCTGGACCTCAAGGTGCAATGGAGGGACAACAGGGCAAACACAGCTCATGCCAAGGCATCCTCCTGGGATCCCACCTCTTGCTGAGAGATCCTATGGCCATTCTTGCTGTAGCACCCCTTGCCCTCCAAGGCTTTCAGTGCTGGGAATGCAGTGCTGGGAAAGGCTTACACAGATCCCCATCCCAGAGCAGTCTAATATCATTCTTGGGGCTTTATTTTTTTCTTCTCCTCTGCACTGTCTCAGAAATACGACAGAAGAGTTCCCTAATTTCTCCTTTGTAAACCCTTATCACAACATTGTTTTTAGAAGAGAACAGTTGCAATAATATCAGGCAGAAGAAATGTATCTTTTGCTCTACTGATTATGGCTGCTTTCTTGGTGTCACCTTCAGTTTTAACACCATTACACAGAAGAACTAATAATATCTCGGGCGTGATTGAACTCCATCACAATAACTCACAATGCCTTTGTTACTGTGCAGAAAACAATAGTTACACTTTGAAGAACGTGTAACTTTGACAAAGCAAGGAGTTTGTCATGCCTGATTTTCTCCCACCTTTCTGTATTGCAAGTCAATCAAACACACCGTATTAAAAATAATTTTTCTCCTCTGATAAATAACGGAACATATTTAATATCTACAGAAACCTCAGCTCCAACCCATCTCGCCAACAACAGCACAGGTACCAGCACAGCCCTCAGGATGAAGGTCTGTGCTTCTGGTGTATGTGAGATGGCAGGAGGGAACAGTGTGGCCAAAGGAAGTGCCAGAACTGCTGTCATAAAAGGCTCAATAGAATTAAAATAACTTAGAGACCAGAGGTCCAGATACCCAAAAGTCCACTGGATTGCGTTTGGAATAGGAGATGATTTCTATGGGGTTTTAAAATAGCTGTAGCTTGGGTTTTTAAGCATTTATGAGTTCAATCAGAAGTATGCACTTCTTCATAAGGAACTATTAGAAGGGTTTCCATTTGTTTAAG